GAAGAGCGGAAGGTGTGCAGTCCCTGTCCTCAGAAAGTGAGCCCAGGGATCCAAGCGCTTTTTCTCTAAAGGGCTAGGTCGTAAATATTTTTGGCTTTTCGGGCTAGTCTGTCTCTGTCACCATTGCTCAGCTCTGCCCTCATGATTCGAAAGCCGCCACGGACCATGTGCAAACAAATAAGTATGGCTGTGTCCCAATAAAACTTTATTTATAGGGACTTCCTCCGTGGTTCTGCAGTTAAGACTCCGGCCTTCCAGAGCAGGGGATGCGGGTTCGATCCCTGGTCGGGGAACTGAGATCCCACATGCCACGCAGTGCAGCCAAAAAAAAAAAAAAAAAACTTTATTCATAAAAACAGACGACTGGGCTTCCCTGGTGGTGCACTGGTTAATAATCTGCCTGCCAGTGCAGGGGACATGGGTTCGAACCCTGGTCCAGGAAGATCTCAAATGCCACAGAGCAACTAAGCCCACGAGCCACAACTACTGAAGCCCATGCACCCTAGAGCCCGTGCTCTGCAACAAGAGAAGTCACCCCAATGAGAAGCCCGTGCTCCGCGACGAAGAGTAGCCCCTGCTCGTTGCAACTAGAAGAAAGCCTGCACACAGCAATGAAGACCGAATGCAGCCAAAAATAAATAAATAAAACATTTTAAAAAATTTTTTAAATAAAAGAAGAGCCAAGTATTGTGAACATGTGTGCAGGGGCCCTGGAGGTCTGAGAGGAGGGAGTTATAACCTCAAGGGGGTTGGAGACTTGGCTGGGGAAGGAGGAGCTGACACGAGGTCCAGCCACAGGATCTGCGGGACCCAGTGCAAAGAAAAAAAAAAAAAAAACAGACGATGGGGTAATTCCCAGTTGTTAGGACTCTGCGTTTTCACTGCCAAGGGCCCGGGTTCAATCCCTGGTTGGGGAACTAAGGAACTAAGATCCCACAGGACGCGCAGTGAGGCCAAAAGAACAAAGCAAAACAGAAACAAAACACAGACCACAGACCTCTCAGCCCCTGGCCTAGACAGAGGAGACGATCACGATGCAAGGAAGGACACCCAGTGACACATGTGCTTGAGGTAGGAGAGGGGGGCCCTCCGCTGGGGGACTGGCACCTCATCCTAAGTGTTAAGGACACTTAACTGTGGTGCCAGCTGGCCAGTCACCAGTGCCCAAATGCCTTGGGTGCAGGTTACTCAGGAGGAGGAAGGCTCTGCGCAGTTCGGGTGTCCCAGCGGGTTTCTGCCCCATCATGTGTGAACCCACTCCTCCCCAGGATGGGGGAGGCCGACTGGCTGCCAGTATTCACAGGGACCCCATCACGTGGCTCATTTCAGGCCCGAGGCACAGAGGCTGTGTGTGTGTGTGTGTGTGCGCGTGCGCGCGCACGCAACTGTGGATGGGGGGGGGGGGGGG